TAACTTTTGGCACAAATCATCTCCTTTGTTGAGCATGATCACAATTGAACTCAAATCTATGGGTATCCAACCTTCTTCGATCCAATCAAAGCAACTTGAAACCGAATTTAGCATTTATAAATTTCTCTTTTTTTCTTCTTTTGGTTGGGAAAATAATTGAACCCGAATCTAAGGCATTGACGAGTGTTGTATTGTGAGCGAGCTTTATGCACTTTCTTATTTGGCAGGTTGTACCAAGTGTTAATTTATTAATAAATAAAAGCCTAGGTTTGAGTTACTATTCATTAGTGGCTCTCACACTCCTTTAAGTGCAAGTGGGGCAGTTCCAAGTCATTCTTTTACCCCACTCTCCACCCCACAACCTATGTGTTTAGTTATTGTTCGCTAGGTTTTCGTCTATAACTTTTGGCACAAATCATCGCCTTTGTTGAGCATGATCACAATTGAACCCAAATCTATGGGTATCCAACCTTCTTCGATCCGCTCAAAGCAACTTGAAACCGACTTTAGCTGTTATAAATTTCTCTTTTTCTCTTCTTTTGGTTGGCAAAACAATTGAACCCGAATCTAAGGTATTGACGAGTTTTGTATTGTGAGCGAGCTTTATTCACTTTTGTATTTGGCAGGTTGTACCAAGTTTTAATTTGTTAATATATAAAAGCCTAGGTTTGAGTTACTATTCATTAGTGGCTCTCACACTCCTTCAAGTGCAAGTGGGGAAGTTCCAAGCCACTCTTTTACCCCACTCTCCACTCTCCACTCTCCACGCTACAACCTTTGTGTTTAGTTATTGTTCGCTAGGTTTCCGTCTATAACTTTTGGCACAAATCATCGCCTTTGTTGAGCATGATCACAACTGAACCCAAATCTATGGGTATCCAACCTTATTCGATCCGGTCAAAGCGACTTGAAACCGACCTTAGCATTTATAAATTTCTCTTTTTTTCTTCTTTTGGCTGGGATGACAATTACACCCGAATGTAAGGTATTGACGAGTGTTGTATTGTGAGCGAGCTTTATCCACTTTTGTAATTGGCAGGTTGTAGCAAGTGTTAATTTGTTAAAAAAATATTCAAAGCGAGTTGAACATGTTGGTGACCAGTTTTTGATTAAAAGCGAGTTTTGTATGCCGTAATATTTTTTTATTTCTCATTTTCGTGTTCGTTAAGGATGACAATTGAACTCTGGCCCATTGTTGATGCGTGTCGTATCGAGAGAGAGTTTTATCCTCTTTTGTAATTGACAGGTTGGCTAAATTATGAACTTGTTAAAACTGGGTCGACCCAATCAAAGCGAGTTGAACGAGGTGTTGAGAGTTTGGGTTCATTAGAAAGTTTTTTCCGCTTTAGTATTTATTTATCCTTCTCCTTTTGGTTGAAAATGATAATTGAGTCCAAATGCATGGGTATACAACCTAATTCGACCCGACCAAAGTGACTTAAACCTGATTTTACATGTTTTCTATGGGAGTGAGTTTTATCTGTTTTTGTAATTGGCAGGTTGTGTCAGGTGTGAATTTGTCCAAAACTTTGTTCAACCTGGTCAAAATGGGTTGTACTAGCGATAAAAATTGAAACATTAGCGTCATTAAAGAAGTTTAAACATAAATAATCAATTCGACGACCATTTTGCTTTATGCAAGTTCATCGACCATATGCTATTATAAATAACAAACCTATGAAAAGAATGATTAGAAATGAAATAAGATTACTTTAACTTTTGGGTCAACATGAAAACTATTACTATTTAAAATATTTATTGAGCCTGATCACAACTGAACCCATAAAACATGGGTACCCTAACTTGAACACAAATCATCGTCTTTGCCCACCATTTCGAAATCCATCTCAAAATACTGTCGACGGAGTCCTAAGTTGATCCCCACCATTGTTTCCCAAGGCCGCTACCATGAGTTTTGTATCAGGACCGAGTTTCATCCTCTTCAGTGTTTTTTTTATTTCTCTATTTCCTTTTTGTTGAGCATGATCAAAATTGAACCCAAACACAATGGTGTTCGTTAGGTTTACATCTATTGTCCATACTGTTGTCCATAACAATTATTGTCAACTAGAATTTTAGCTCCCTATTGCAGCAACTATCCACTTTTCGCAACCCAACTCGAAACACTGTCGATGGAATCCTGAGTTGACCTCTTCTACTGTTGACCATGGTCGCGACCAAAGATCCATACTAGATATGCTCTGTCTAATCCTCAACATCGCTCACCAATTCACTACCTTCTCAAAACAATGTCGATAGAATCCTAAGTTGTCCCCCTCCACCGTTTCCCAATGTCACTACCGAAAATCTATACCATATCTACTCAATGCTGGTGAGTTTTGTGTCGGGACCGAGTTTCGTCCGCTTTAGTGTTTTTTCTTTCACTTTTCCTTTTTTTGAGCATGATCGCAATTGAACCCAAATCTATGGGTATCCAACCTTCTTCGATCCGGTCCAAGCGACTTGAAACTGACTTTAGCATTTATAAATTTCTCTTTTTTTCTTCTTTTGGTTGGGAAAACAATTGAACCCGAATCTAAGGTATTGATGAGTTTTGTATATTGAGCGAGCTTTATCCACTTTTGTAATTGGCAAGTTGTACCAAGTGTTAATTTGTTAAAAAATTGTTCATAGCGAGTTGAACACGTTGTTGACCAGTTTTAGATTGAAAGCGAGTTTTGTACGCTTTAATATTTTTTTTATTTCTCATTTTCCTTTTTGTTAAGGATGACAATTGAACTCTGGCCCATTGTTGATGCGTTTCGTATCGAGAGAGAGTTTTATCCTCTTTTGTAATTGACAGGTTGGGTCAATTGTGAATTTGTTAAAACTTGGTCGACCCGGTCAAAGCGAGTTGAACGAGGTATTGAGAGTTTGGGTTCATAAGCAAGTTTTATCCGCTTTAGTATTTTTTTTCTCCTTTTCCTTTTGGTTGAGAATGATAATTGAGTCCAAACGCATGGGTATACAACCTAATTTGACCTGACCAAAGCGACTTAAACCTGATTTTACAGGTTTTCGATAGGAGCGAGTTTTATCTGTTTTTGTAATTGGCGGGTTGTGTCAAGTGTGAATTTGTCCAAAACTTTGTTCAACCTAGTCAAAAGCGAGTTGTACTAGCCATACAAATTGAAACATTATCGTCATTAAAGAAGTTTAATCATAAATAATCTATTCAACGACCCTTCTGCCTTATGCATGCAGCAAGTTCATCGACCATATGCTATTGTAAATAATAAACCTATGAAAAGAATGATTAGGAATGAAATAAGATTACTTTTACTTTTGGGTCAACATGAAATATTTATCTTCTGATACGCGAAGTGATAGCGAGCGGCCTTTTGCTAGTTATAATTTATAAGCAAAATTGTCAGACGACTTATATTGTTTTGCCAAGGGATATAATTCGACCAGGCCATCAGGGTAACATAGATTTAATGTCGGTTCATGTCGACATACAAAATCATTTCAAGAAATCACTATCATCAAATAAATTTTAGCACATATAAAATATATATGAAGACAATCACAATTCATATTTAAATAAAGTAAAAAACCAGAAGAAATTAAATATTCATATTTATATACGAAATTTAAAGTCCACAATCAAACATTTTGAATCCAACAAATAACATTAACATTTATCTTTCGAATTCATGAATAAATTACAAAAAGTTTTTTGCTAATTAAATTCACTAAAACGACGTCATTTTATCTAGAAGCCAGGAATCAATCATGTCGGTCATATCAGTGATATTACAGCCAGTTTCATGATCTATATGGTTATACCAGATTTGACCTTTTATTATTAAATTTTTGAATCAACAATCCGTTTTTATCAATGTTTTAGAAATCTTGTCGTATTAATTTGTTGGACTGGAAATCTTGTCGTATTGTTGTATCTACCTTTTATTATTAACTTTTTAAATTTTAGTTTTCAACAAAAACAAATTTATCAACCTTTGTTTTCTTATTTTAAAGAACACCATCCCGTTCTGTGCTCTTTGTTTTAGTAAACCGTTTTCGACTACTTCAACACCAATTAAACAAATATGATTTAATTATTATTCACAACCTTTTATTTTAACCATTATATCTTGAATCTATATAAGGTTTACCTTGTTTTGTATCTATTATAGCATATGATCTCGTCCATGGTCTACATTCCAATTTCTTGGTCTGGACCACAGATCGTGTCTATGATTTGGTCTGGACCGCACCGTTTTCCACTCCTACTTCCTACTTTTTATGTATTAACATAATATTAGTTATTTTAGCATATGTAACATTGTGAGTTACAATGCTTATTATATATTTACATAATATTAGTTAAGCATATATAACAACCTTCTGTAATATTTTGTATCTCCTACATTCAATTTAACCATAAGCTCGTGATTAGTTAACTTTGACATAACAGTTTAATCAAATATTACTTTCTAAAATTTGATTTTATTATTAGACCACACACTATAAAATATCTACTTAACAACGTTGTATTAAAGATTTTATCTCCTACATCCAATTTTACCATAAGCTCATGATTAGTTAACTTTGACATACCAGTTAGTTAACTTTGACATAGATTTCAATCATATGTTACTTTTCAAAATTTTATTTTTTCACTAGACCACACATTATAAAAGATTAATGTAACAAAGTTCTACAATAGTTACATAAATTACAAATTCATCAATGTTACTTACTATAACTTGATTTTATTATTAAACCACAATACGAAGTATTTATGTAACAACATTCTATAATAGGTACACGAGTCTTCCTTAATGACTAAGACACTACGTAAAGCTTACGGACAAATAATTATTTTGTATATATCGACTAAACAAAAATTGCATGTGAGTCTTTCATAACGGAAGACGTATGTCATTCGTAATAATTTAGACACAACGTGAAACTTATGTATATATCTTATCTTAATAAAATTTTAAATTATTTAAATTCAACTAAGATTCAATGTTTTTATTTTATATAAGTAATGAATTACATTGAAGGAGAACAGCAGTAAGCAAGCTTTTCTAATCATATGAATTAAGAATAATAAAATGATAAAAAAAACACAATAAGGTAGTAGCTAGCACAACAATAAGTAATGTGTTCTATCCCAATGTGAACCAACTAGGACATGGATTTTCTCCACCTAGGAGGAGTCCTCCTCTTCACAAGCTTAGCCTTCATATCCATGGGCGTTTGCCGCCCCAAACTCCCACTAATCACAACATCTCTATCCTCTTCATTAACATCAACAACATTGTTCATCTTGTCGGCCACACTACCGGTCTTGAAAGAGGTCAAGAACCCAAGCTTCTTCCACTTGAACGACATCATCCCTTTCTTCTTCTCCACCATCTTCTCCATCTGGCTCTCCATGTTAAGGCACTGGCCCTGCAGCCTCAACACATCTTCCCTGAGCTTCCGTATCTCCGACTGCTGCGCGTTCACCTCGCGCTTCGAGTGGCATCGAGTCGACGACGACGAGACATTATCCCCGTCGGGTTTGGGACTTCGGGTCGTCATGTTCGTCACCGAGTTCAACTCGTTGTTGTTGAACGAGCCGCTCCACTCGATGTGTCGACTGTTCATCTTGTTCTGCTCCGCGAAGAGCACCTGGATCACGACTCGAACCGGTAACCTCTCGTTCTGCGCGGCGTGGACGGATGCTTGAGGGGAGAGCCTTCGGCTGTCGATGAGCCTGCACAGGTTTTTCCTCTCTTGCTTTGACACTCCTGGATGTGCCTGATAACGTACACAAATGTTACGTTGGTGATGAACATGACGTTATGTCACGTAGTTAAAAAAAAAAAAATACAAAGCCAACTAGCTAGCTAAGCAAATCATCCACCGAAAAAAAAAGAAGAGAATCTCGTGCTGGTGATTTACCATCGGTCCCCCCAATCGAGTATTTTGGACATATGCACCAATTCGTCTCTTCTATTAATTTGCTTCTTTGTCTTTTTTTTTTTTTAACTTCCTCCTCGCTATGGACACGAGCCCCATTAAATTCCCTCCTTAACACAGATGCTCCATACCATCTTGTCCATTGTTATTTCTACATCGACCACACATATGTTTGTGAATGTTGGGTGATGATAAGGTTTTTAATTCCCTTCAATTTCTCAATATATCTATGTATTTTGGGTTGATATATATCTTGGGAGTATTATCTAGGATGCCCATAGAAATAGTTATCAAATGTTATTGTCTTCACTCCATCATCTTGCAAAAAATGTTATTGCATATGTTTAAATAGATTAAGAAAGTAATTTGAGATGTTGAGATTGGCATTCCTATAGGTAGAGTAAGTAAAGGATTCACATATTTAGATGTAGGCTACAAATAAACGAAATAAAGTGAAGTGTGACTATGACTGTGACTTAATAATTGTGAACACGAAATCTCTTGATTGAAAATCAGCAATAAAATAATTGGATTGACCATGTTTCACTATTTCATTAATTCTAGACTTTTCAATCGGCTTTACATTAAACGAGGATGATTATTGGCATAAAAGCTAGGGAAAACTACAATATCAGTCAGTGGTAGGGTGTCCATTCGGGTTTACCCGAAACCGACCCGATTATATACATTTTTGGATTTTCGGGTTCGAGTTCGTTTCGGGTTCGGTTTTACTTATCGGTTTTTCGGGTTCCGGCCAAAAACCTCCAACGAATAAAACTCAGCCCGTATTCTTAGGCGTTCGGGTTTCGGTTTTGCTTTAACCGAACCCGAACCCGATAAGAAATTTTCGGATTTCGGATAACCGGAACCCGCAAATTCTTATCGGGTTCGGGTTCGGTTTCAGTAATTTTTTGGTTATGAGTTTACGAGTTTTTTCGAGTTTCGGTACCCGAACTGACACCCCTTGTTAGTGGCAAGATTTATAGCGAAGAGGTTAGAAACAAAAAACAATCATTAGACTCGTGGACGAGAGGGCTAATAACTTCCAATTCGGTCAATTATTCATGTTTGTTTATGATATAATCCACAAGTTACAATTAAAAATCAAATATTGAGATGATTATACCAAACTAGTTGTTGGATTTATGGTTTCAAGACACTATGTAAAAATAAAAAAAGTTTCTAAGTACCAAAAATAATGGTTGACTGAAAAAGCCGGTACTTAAAAACGAAAAACAACTCACCTTGAGGTATGTATCAATGGCGCGGTAGAGTCCGTCGTCGGAGGTACGTGCATGGTCAGGCAGCGACCCGGCAAGAGACACAAACTCCAACAACCCCAAATTCGAATCCATGGCCACCTCCGCCAGGTAAGCATCCACCAGCCGAGCCACCTTCGCAGCCGCCGCGGCGCCCACCCCGCTTCTCGACGACGGCTTGGACGCCGCCTCCTCCATCCCCACAAACATCTTCACGAGTCGGGTCACCAGCTCCACGTCGAGCACCGTGCCGCACGTGTGGCTGAACGACGGAATCATCAGCTCCTTGAGCGACGCCGTTTCCAGCTGCCACGCTGCCCTCGCCTCCAGCTCGGCTCGGTACCCCGGCTCGGCTCCCACCATGTTGGCCGTACGGAGGAGCCGGAGCAGGAAGTTGCACGGCACGGAGTCCCTCTCCGGGGGAAGGATTCCGACCAGCGTCTCCACGAAGAACCGCTTCTTCATCCACTGCACCGTCATGCTCTCTTCCGAGCCGGCGGCGGCGGCGGCGGGGACGTCGGCGGAGGAGGAGAGGGAGAGCTCCGGGAGCCACTTGGAGGCGTAGTGAGCGACGATGGAGCCGATGAGGTCGGGGCGGACGCCTTTGGATTTGATGCCGGAGATGGTCTTGACGAAGTAGTCCATGTCGAGAATGCAGGCGTCGTCGAACCAGCTGGAAGTTGCGGCGGAAGGCGGCGGCGGAGGAAGGTGGTTGTGGGAAGCTGCTGCTGGTGGTGATTTGGCGGAGGGGAGTATCGGATGCGGCTCTGGGAATGAAACTTTGCTCATTTTGTTAGTACTTTTTTTTAGACGATTGTTTGGAATGGAGAAGAAATTTAGACGCAGAGGATGGGAATATGTAAATTAGTGGGGGAAGTGATGAATCGTTCTGCTTGTAGAGGAAGTGATGAATGTTGTCGACGTGGCGAGAATGTAAGGACTAATGTCTAAAGATATCAGATATTTGTTCCATATACAATTTGTCACGTGTACATCGTAGAGTAATCTTGGGCCTGGATCATAGCATACTGGTGGGCTTATTGATTCATCGACTTTCGGCCCTTAAATCCTCGTGTTTTAACAATAGCATCCACATTAGAATTGCATTATGCCATGACATTTATTTGCAATTGCATAATTTAATTATATTTATTTTTTTCATAATGAAACATCTTCTATTATACCTAACCAAACCAGTAGAAACAAAAGTTTACAACAGGGGCGAAATCATATTTGCAATGACAATCCAATCCAGTGGTAAGAGATCAAGTCGAGCATTCCTAGCGACCCAATCCGCAAGAGAATTAAATCGCCGAGGAACGAAGGACAACTTGATCCAAGGAGCCCCCTGAAGAAGAGACACAAGTCGGGTTAGGGTCGCACGACATTGCCAAGGCCAATCGCAGCGGTCTTGATTAAGAGCCACAATCAAACGTTGGCAATCGCTTTTGATACACGTCGGACAGGACTCTTGGGCCGCCAACACCACAACACCCAAAATAGCAAATGGTTCTGCCTGAATCAGGTAGGAACAATAGAATCTCTCAGCCTTGTCGTCAATCACCTGACCATGGGCATCAGCAATGATAATCCCACAAGCCGCCAACTGAGACTCCGAAACAAAGGAGCCGTCATAGTGCACAAAACGTTCAAAAGGGCCAGGTGGTGAGGGGTTTCGACGGGATCCCCTAGGCTGAGAAGGACAACTAGCTGATCTCAGGATCGAGGACAGTGAGGTTGTCTCTCAAGCTTCGTTGATGTTCATGAATTCACGATTAGTTAAAGTCATTGTGTTGGGTGGGGAAATAGCCCTGCTCTCAAAGATGAAACCATTTCGAGCCTTCCAAATACTCCATAAACAGCAAACAAGGCGGGCAATCTGCTCATCCGACATCAGATCTTTGAGTCTAAAGAACCACTCTGCAAAGGACATATCAGGATTAGGAAATGGTTGTCAGTGATCCAAAGAGTAACCATGTGTTATGAGCATGCTGACAATGCAAAAAACAATGGAGAACAGTCTCATCCTGATAAGTGCAGAAAGGGCAGGTGGGTGCTGGAGCACACTCGCGCGAGAAAAGGCGTGCTTGAGTCGCAATAGCATTCTTCGAGTTTTTCCAATTGAAGAACCGGAGCTTGGGAGGAATTTAAAGTGACCATAGCCACCTCCAATCCTGTCTATTAGGTCGAGCTCCATAATCATTGACAGGATGAATACTTATGTCCCTCACTTCCCGAAAGGCTCTATAGGATGATCTCATTGTGTAGGAGCCTGAATCGGTGTACCTCCATATCTACTTATCCTCCGCCTCCGAGGGACCAATTGGAACTCTCATAATAGCCTGAGCCACCTCTTCAGTGACCTCTGCTCGAATAGCATCGGAATTCCAACTTCTAGAAGAGGCAACAATCCAATCGCTGACCTGAGATGGTTCCAGCTGCAGGTTGGATAGTGAAAAGTTGGGAATAGAAGGTACCCATGGGTCCTTATGGAAATTGGTTCCCTCACCAGACATAATCCCTTTAAGAAATCCAATCTACATCTTATCCTTCACATCACAGAATCCGTTCCAAATCCATTATCCATTTCTACCCTTCTTAGCTGAGTAAAGGTCCCCGTTAGCAAAGTAAAGTCTCTTTAAGAGCTTGACCCACATAGCTTCCGGGTTATCCAACATCCTCCAAATTTATTTACCGATCAAAGCCAAATTCATAAGGTGTAAATTTTTAAAACCCAAGCCTCCCTCCTCTTTTGGCTTTTCCAGAACTCTCCCATCACCCCAGTGAATGGATTGCTTTTTCATAGAGCCCGACCAGAAGAAGCGCTTAAGAATAGAATCCATCTTGTTTGTCAAGGATCGAGGGAGGAAGAAAATACTCATAATGTAAGCCGGAATAGCCTGAATAACAGCCTTCAACAATACTTCCTTACCACCTGGGGAAAGGAGGATGCTCTTCCATGATTCTCCAATTTTCTCCATTCTTTCTAGCAAGAACAAAAAGGTTTCTTTTTTTGATCGCCCCCACTCCGTAGGAACACCGAGATATTTATCGTGACAGATAGAAGGAGGGAAACAAAATCTGTTCACCACTAGGGATCTTAAAGCATCGGGCGTGTTCTTATTGAAAAAGATTGATGACTTCGAAGCATTGACCTCTTGTTCTGTGGTCTTTCCATAGTTATGTAAGATTTTCTGAATTTGTTCATCTTCATTCACACTAGCCTTCCCAAAGATAACAATATCGTCTGCGAAGAGGCAATGTGAAATATGAGGGCAATCTTGATTGAGTTTACTTCCTCTAATGTCACCTCTGGAAACCCCTCTATCGATGAGGAAAGATAAGGCATTAGACATTAAGATGAAGAGGAATGGAGAGATTGGATCCCCTTGCCTTATTCCCCTAGTCGGAGTGAAAGGCTCCGTTGGGCTCCCATTCAGAAGTATCGAGAAATTGACTGTGCTGACACAAGATTTGATCCATCTCAGCCACTGATCAGAGAAACCATAAGCTTTGAGTATCAGATCAAGACACTCCCAGTCTACCAAGTCATAGGCATTGCGCATATCCAATTTAATCATCATATCCCAGTCACCATTCCGCCAATTCTTGAAATTGTGAAGAATTTCGTGGACAATAATAATGTTGTCTTGTATGAGTCCTCCACCTGTGAATGCAGCTAGCATCTCAGAAACCAACATAGGTAACCATTTCTTCATCCGACTTGATAAGATTTTTGAAATAATCTTGTATCGGAAGTTATAACAGCTTATAGGTCTAAAGTGAGTAATCCGATCAGGGGTTTGAACTTTAGGAATAAGAGCAATGTGAGTATCATTCCATCCCTGTGGCATCACTGCTGTTAGGAAAAACTCAAGGATTTCCTTATAGAAATCCAGCCCGATTTTTGTCCAGTATTTTCTGAAGAATAATCATGCAAAACCGTCCGGTCCTGGCGATTTTGTGGATTCCAGATTAAACACAGCAGCTTTAATATCCTCAAGAGTCGGATCTTTGCAAAGGTCCATATTCATTTCATCAGTGACAATTCTTGGGAACTCTTGGAGTGCCGAGCCATCAAAATGATTATCTTTGGTAAACAGAGCTTGGTAGAAATCTGTAATGTGATTTGAAAGCTCATCCGAACTCGATAGAATATTGCCAACATCATCCTTAAGAGAAGTAATCTTGTTCCTTTGTTTCTGAAAGATGGTGGAGGCAGGAAAAACTTGGTATTTTGGTCTCCGTGTTGGAGCCAATCGACTCCAGATCTTTGGCTTCAAAAGAGCTCTTGATCCTTCCAAATTGCAGCAAGCTCATTCATGAGAGCTTTCTCCTCTTCCACAATGTCATGTGAACGTTCCAAGTTCAGGATTTTTTGTAGTCTTTGTTGAATTTCATCTGCCCTCTTATTTTTGTCACAATGCATTTGTTTAGCCCATTCTTTTAGTTCCTGTCTGCACTTAATAATCCTTTCCTGACAAGGACCATTGCCTTCCCAAATGCGGTTAACAATAGCATGACACTCCTCTCTTTGGAGCCATCTAGCATCAAATCGAAAGGGGGTATTGGTTCTCAACCTGTTGCTGTCAAATTCCAGTCTCAGAGGACTGTGATCCGATTCGATGGGAAGCTCGTGAAATAAACTGGCATTACTGTAGAGCGCCAACCAGCATGTAGAGCAAAAAGCTCTATCAAGCCTTTATTTGATTCTTCTCTCACCCTCTTGGTTATTCTTCAACGTGAAAGGATAAACTTTAAATCTCAAATCCATTAGCGCATTTTCAGCTACAAAGTTCTGAAAAGGTACAACAGAGTCATTCCTCATGACTCCACCCCCCGGTTCTCATTCGAAAATAAAATGACATTTATATCCCCAATAACTACCCATTTTTCCTCAACACTAGCTCTCAGGTTCCCAATCTGAACCCAGAAATCTCTCTAAGCAGTAGGGTCTGAAGGAGCATGGACAAAAGTAACAAAAAAAAACCCCCACTGACATCAACATAAACATCAATAAAATGGTTACTACTATCTAAAACTTGAATACTGATATTCGGCACCCACCAAAGGGCCAAACCACTAGCCCGATCATTAGGACAAACATCAAACTTCTCGGCAAAACTTAGGGATCTTCTCGTGGTCTCCATATAAGACTCCTTCTTCTTTGTTTCGGACCGAAAGACAAAAGCTGGTTTAAACTTCTTAACCATCTTCTTAAGTTGATGAATTGTGGGGGACTGCCCGAATCCCCTACAGTTCCAAACTAGGGAATTCATGGCGCCCCTGGTGGCTTGGACTCGGCCACCGAAACCCCAGCAAATCCATGTTCGAAACATGGAGGAATATCAGCATCGTCATCGACAATTACCTCCCCTGTTTTGGCTGTATCAAAGCCAGAGAGACTCTTCCCATGTCCTTCAGTTTCTTCTTCACGTTGATGGTTGGCTTTCCTCTTCTTTTTCTGTATGTTCGGGCTTCCATTTCGATGCCTTGAGGACTGGCCGTGAGTTGGGTTCTTACTCAGAACTTGATTTGGACTTGGGCCTGTTTGGAAATAATTTTGGCTGACAATATAGTTGCCATGGGCCTGGAATGGGAAATGGTTTGGGCTTTGGTTGTCGAAGTACATAGGTGGGGAAGGGATATTGGGGTTGATGTTGATAGTGTTTGGGAAAGTGGCGGCTGAAAACCCTCCAAACAGATTTCTAGCTACGTTGATTCCTTGAGGGGAAGAGGCAGTCAGGTCTTGGTTTTGGAAAAGAGGTGAGAGGCTTATGGGGGATGGTGAGAAAAAGTTGGGGTTGGAGAGTATACCCGTTTCCAACAGGAAGTTTTGAGCAGAGCTTGAGTGAGGGGATTGATGTGCCATTGGGCCCACCTGATCGGTGTTGAGACACGCGCCGCGACCATTGTTCTGCGGCGACGAATTCTGTTGACCGGCGGGAGAGTTCGAGGTTGACCCAACATCCCTACTCAGAACAACCATCAGTTCACATTGCTGGTTCGTCCTCAGCGAGAAAATCGGAGAACTGGCTCTAGTCCAAAGCCCCTATCTCTGAATATTTGGGAGGGATTGACCAGATTCTTCACTCCTTTTCTACATCTCACACTCCAAGCGAGTATGAGCAATCTTCCCACAGAAGTAGCAGAGTGTGAACATTCTCTCATACTTGAATTCGATCCAGATCCGCCTTTGTTGGTGTCGGATGTATAATCCATCCGGGAGGGGTCTTGTGGTGTCGACTTCAACAAAGACCCTAACAAACCTTCTGTAGATTTGTGCTTGAAGAGCAGCTCGATCAATGTCTGCTACTTTGTGGAACATTTGGCTCATCATAGATAGATTCCCTTCGGTTCGGAACGCGTCTGGCAGATTGTGAATCTGCACCCAGAAATCAACATACTTGAAGCTAATGTCACTAGCATTCTCCAAACCTGTAACCTTCTTCACTTGGATCAGGGATCCCGAGATGGGCAAGAGGCGATCTTCCCAGATGGCTTCCATTTCAGCCTTGTTCTCGAAGTCGATGGTGAAGGAATTCTCCTCCATCGGTTGCATATTTGGCATGTCTTGTAACTTAGGCTTTGGAGCATCGACCCAGGCAGCCCTTATCATACCTTTCATTGCTCTGAGGCTGATCTTGCGCTCTGAGTACACCATCACTGCCAATGTGTTCTTGCTTGAGGCTCTCTCAACATCTGGAACGATGTCTAAGTTCCAGTCATCTGCCTGATTGATCAGACATTAATGCTCATGTTTTTGTTTTTGAGTTTGGTATCAAGGGCAATTGGTTCTTGGTAGTAATGGATGCAAAGACTTTTTTGTGGCTTGACCCTTGTAAGCTGGGTTCTTCTTATAACAGATCTCCTCTTTGGTAATCTTACCACGTCCTCCTTAGTCTTGGGGGTTGCCTGGATTTGACATGGTATTATTGCTAATCTAGTAGTACAGCTTCTCATAACTATGTAGGTGGAGTTGTGCGGCTCAAGATGTTTACCATACCCTCGTAAAGGGGGTTTGAAAAGACTATTATCAACTCTGTTTTTTCCAGGTCTTAATGGTATGGCACCACTTCTCCTCTCAATTTGCTCTTTGTTGCTGAGTAGATGCATTAAATCCCTTCTGTAATTTAGGTACTGGAGCCTTGAGACTTATTGTTGATGGTCAGTCTTAGTTGACTCGTCGCTGTTGAAGCGATCTGAGCAGAAGAATAAGAAGGGTTCAAAACGAGGGCTAGCTGCAAATCTGATGGTTCTCTGAACTCTGGTGGTTCTCGGCACAGTGCCACACTAAAAGCAGTTGGGAAGTATGGAATAAATAGATGTGATGTTGAACTGGTATATACTCTGAGCAGAAGGATTCAGAACTTAATGAGATATGAAGTAGATCATCTCCTAAAAGGAGGCAAAGCAATCATCTCAGCTTCTGAGATAAACAAAATCATCCAGATCTGCACTGGGACGAACAGAAGAACAAAGCCCAAAAGGGGACAGTGAGACAGGCCAAACTAACATAATGTAATTGCATTGATGTAGAGGACAATTTCATATTTGTAAGCTTTCATATAATGCAATAATGGAATGCAAGCCATATCATCTTTTTTATTATTAAATTATTCATTAATTTTATTATTTGAGTGTTTATGTTTTAATAAATTAAATTAAAAAAATGAGTTGCAATTGCAAGTTAATTGCATTGATGTGGTGCAATGAAATTAAGATGAGTTGGATTGCAAAAAAAAGGAAGTAACAATAAAAAATACAAATGCAATTGCACCCATGGAGATGCTGTAAGACACGTCCTTGCTCGTGTTTATCGGAGATGTTCTGGTAGAAATTTACCTAATGTCCTATATGCATATACTTATGGTTTAAGATATGGTGTATAATTCTTAGGAGTCATATAGAACATTTACAAAATAAGACAATTTGGATAAAATATCTCATTTTTAAAAATGAGATAATTGTTTGTGATATTTGTTTAAAATTGTCTTGTTTGCCTTGTTATTTAACATGAAGAAGGGTAAAATAAAAGGGAAAAAGTGCAACAATAGTTTCATGTTAAATAACAAGGCAAACATATATATATTCAGACCAATCAAAAGCGACTTATTTAACATGAATTCTGATCTTGAAAATTCAACTGTGCCAAACTATAATTAGAGAAGATTCACTAATGGGTCGTTTGCTTCAAGGATTATAAAATGAGGGTTTTTACTTAAATGTGGGATTTAAAAACCTAAGGTTTTATTTGGGATTTGGGGAATTTTGGATTTGTGAAAATCTTTCGTTCGTTTCTTCATTTTGATCATGGATTTATTGGTTTGGGTTTTAGAAACAAAAAATGCATTTACGCTATTGCCCTTTTTTAACCCATGTAAAGGATGGGGGTTGGCATTGTGTATAACGTTTCCCTGCTTTCCTCTTTCACGAAAAAGGCCTTCTTCCCTTCTGAACTCCCTGAACGAAACGAGCCCTCTCCATTCTCCTTCTTCCCCAAAGTGTTTCTGATCGCCCTGAAGGAAACGGCCGCCTGTCCATTCTCCTTCTCCTCGTAGCTTTTTGGCAGCAGGTATGTTGATTGTGGGCTATGTGATTGCATTTGCTTTATCTGATGATTTCTATTCTCACGGTAGCAGAAGAAATTCCAATTACCAATTCCAGACATCTCATGGCAAGCAAAGGAAAGGAGATAGCAGTTTCGGATGCATTCCATTACGAGGAGGAAGAAGTGCTATGTGATTGTGGGTTGCGAGCAGCTAGAAGAATTTCCAGAACCTCTAGCAACCCTAATCGCAAGTTTTTTGGATGCCCACAGTTCAGTCACGTAGACGCTAAAAAAGGGTGTCGTTACTTTGAATGGTATGAAATTAGAGCTGCGGTGTTTAAAGCAACCGCAATGTTGACTGCAAAGGTTACAAGGTTGGAAGCTGAGAATAGACAGCTCCGCAGTTTGATAAGGAGAGCGATGAAGGATGGGACTGGAATACATGAACAAGCCGAGTTGTTCATTGAACTGGAACTCATTAAGCAGAAGATAGAGCGTATAGAGTTAGAGAGTACAAGTAGGAAATGATTCAAGTAGTTCATGTTGTTGTAGATTATTTGCAAAATCCTTGTGCAGGTTGGGAAAAGCAGAAATGGTTCATCGAACAAGAGGGAGATTGCAAGGAAGGGAGTGCTCACCTGGGTTCGCTGCCGGAGATTTATGCCGCCTGAACGTAGGCTGATCGCCGGTAGAAGAAAGTCCCTGTTCCGCTGTTCGTGCGCGCTGCTCCTTGGTGCATAACTCCTCTTCGCAGCAGCTCCTCTGTTTGGCGTTCAATGGGCAGAGGGAGAGTGGAAGCGACAGATATGTGAGTGATAGAGAGGGCATTTTTTATTTAATGAAAAATAATGAGGATAGGAGTGTCAATTGGCATCTTGGTTTTTCTGCATATAACCAATTCCCTAATAATCATGTGGGATTTACAAAGCCGCGGCCCCACGGATTTGGAACAAAAAAAATAACCCAAATCCGTGGGGCCCACAGATTTGTATAAAAATTTTGTGACAGACAAACAAGGGATTGTGGTTAAATCCCTAATGGTTAGGTTTTTAGTGTCAAATCCATGATAACAATCCTTGAAGCAAACGACCCCTAAATCCAGCAAGCCCAAATTCTTATTAGAGATCTGTATGAATAATTCATACATCAAACAATGTATTGACCCATTTTATCAAAGATAGGTATGAAAATGAAAATACACTTTTTCGACAATCGAAAAAGAAGATGATCTGTAAAAGCTAAATATGGGTTCCAAGTCCATTGACCCATTTTATCATACATCTTGCATGCATAATCCATACATCAAGAACTTGTTAGGTATTAGTTAGTGATGACTAACTAAAAAAGAAAAAAAAAATACATACATAAAAAAAACCCCTTGAGCTCTCCGTCTTCTTCTCTCCTTCATCTCGTCCCTGTCACAAAGTTCACTTTCTCATAGTCAGATTAAGAAAGAAAGAGTGGGCAGAGAATTACCTGCCAGAGAGAGGGTGAGAAATGAAAGAGAAAAAGAGAGGAGGATGAGTTTGTTGTTGCAAAGAAAGAGAAAAAGAAGAGAGGAGGACGAGTTTGTCTCTGCTGAGAGAAAGAGAGAGAGAGAAGAAGGGGCCAGATGTGGAAGAAAGGGGATAAAAATGCGTCAATTGGGATTACCTACTACCACCTCAGATATTTTCGATTGACCAATATCAGAACAACTATGTACAGCCAAATGAAGCAATTTGGCCTAATTGTCTCACTTTGAGTCAATCATGTGTTTCATAAGCACACAAAACACGTTGAGATGGACTTCATTTTCTGCATGAGCACGTCATTTGAGGGGAGATTGTACCATGCAAAATATCATCCCATGATCAATTTTCAAATATGTTCACCAAAAGATTGGGTGTAGATCAACGTCTTTTCCTTGCCTCCAATCTTAGTGTTCATGATATTCACGCATCCGCTTGAAGGAAATGTTACGGATGTACTTTAACATGATCATTTGTGTAGTGATTTGTACCTGACAATAATCCTTAAGTTGCTAGGAAAAGGGATTGCATGTGCTATATAGGCCTTGTGAGCCTCCGTTGTAACTGTGCCAACAAAGTAATCTAAGAGACGCAACTCTCTTTTGAGCAATCTCATTCATTTTGAAGAAGGAAACCACGTAAATTGTGTTATTGTATTTTTGTTATTTTTTCATACCCTATCCTAACAATCCAAATTAAGGAAACAACCCCACACATAAATTTTGGTCTATATTTTCTTTTCCTTTCTCCGAAAACAATCCCACACATACATCACTAACTTATATGTGTTCGTTGTTCTTCTTTTTTGTACAAGGGATGAGATATTGTGACTACCTTGGAGGGGATTTGCAAAATTGAAAACATCTCCCTATACCTTTGGATGTCTTCTCTTTCCTCCCTTTTTGAACTGATTGATAGATTGAATGGAAGATAATTTTGGAACAAAAAAAGTACCACATATTTACCTCTCCTATTTTTTATATTTTTTAAACCAAAGATAATCATATATATATATATATATATATATATTGATAAAAGATCATAAATTACACCCTGGATCCAACCCAGACACAATAATCATACAATCGACACGAAGCCAGAGACATAAAAAGGGCCTTTCTAGCCACTGAATGGGCTACCCTATTGTTATTCCAACCCGTGAACCGAACACAAAACTCACTATTCAGACCCATCAGACACAAAATCTCATTGATAATAGACCCAACACGACTATCCCGCGCATCTTTGGCCTTAATCTTATCAATGAGTACCCTAGCATCACCTTCAAACCAAACTTGAGGGATGCCAAGATTCCGACACCATTGAATAGCTTCGCGGAGGATAATAGTCTCAACCACAAGAGGATCGACAATGCCTTCAAAAAACATTCCTTTCACTACCATCACATTCCCACCTCCATCCTTCACGATCTGCCCTCCCGCTGAATGTGAGCCTAGAAAGCACCGCACCATCCCACATACAAACAAGAGTTGGCAAATCCACCTCCTCCTGATTGAGCTGCCAAGGAACCCACCCCAGGACCACTCTATCATCCGGTAAAGACAGCCACTCATGTAGCTGCTGATGGTATTGGCGCATTAGTTGAGAAACCAAGAACAACTTTCCCTCTAAAGCCGCCCAATTTCTTGATTTCCAAATACGCCATAGGAGCACTACCAAACACGTAACTTCATCTGACGGGGTCATCATAAGCAAGCACTTCTTAAGGAACAAAGGGAAGGTATTTCTCGACAAATCTTGCCCCAGATGGTCCAAACCCGAAAGAGTCCAGAGAGCTGCAGCGACTGGACACTCCCAAAAGAGGTGCTCCATCATTTTAGACTCCGCCCAACACACCGGACATCTAGGCAGAATCTTTACCATTTCTCAATCAAGGCTTTCATGATAAGCAGAATACGATGAAAGATTTTCCGGACTCCGGAGGAACAACTTAAGTTTAGGTGGGATCTTGAGATCTCACATTCTTATCCAACTCTCCCTATCTATCCAGCTCACCCTGTGGTGCCACATCCCCACCTATCTATCCACCACAACCGCTAGGTGATAAGCAGATTTGATAGTAAACATGCCATCACACGTATCATGCCATACCAACCTATCATCAACACTCATACGAGGCAAGGGAATCGCCAAGATGTCCCCAACAACCTTAGGAGGAAACATCTGCTCAATCGAATGTCGACACCATCCACCACCCACCGGATCTATAAGCTTAGCCACCTTCGGGTCGGTGTCCTTCGGAATGACGTGGGGCTTACACATAGGAGGGTGGGAATGACAAGACGGAACCCAAATGGAATGTTGAATAGAGGCTTGGACCCCATTTCCAACCTGCCATCGAAGTCCTCGCTGGAGGAGGAGGCGGTCATGGAGAATACTGTCACCCCCATGATACGCGTGACCGAGTAGTCGCCGTTAGAAATGTACCATTAAGAAAGTACTTGCCCTTATATATCTGGGCCAGGAGAGATTTAGGTTCATTGAGAATACACCATCTAATCTTAGCAAGGAGGGCTTGATTAAAATGCTTCAAACAGCTGAAAACTCATCCACCCATAATGTTTACTCATGCATAAGTTCCACCAAGAAATCCATCTAATTGGCGGACGACCCACTTCCACCCCCTGACAGAATCTAGTAACATGCCTATCCAGAATGCGAAAGAGAAAGAGGAAGTTTAAAGCAGGACATAACATGTAACGGCAAGGAGAACGCAAATGATTTAATCAATGTCTCCTTTGCCGCCCATGATAGCACCTTCTGTTTTCATCCCTGTAGCATTCCAATAACTTCTCCTCCAAATAGAGGAAAGTAGCCATCTTAGACTGAGCAATCAAGGTGGGTAAGCCCAAGTATTTATCATGGACACCAACCGCTCCTACACCGAGCCGGAGAGCCAAATATTCTTGCTAAAACAAACTGCAGATTTAGCCAAGTTAACTCTTTGCCCACTAAGTTCCTCATATTCATTCAAAACCACCAAAAAGTTCTCACATTCTTGCATCGATTTGATGACTCGATATTTGCACATGTTTTCCCCTTTGTTTCTTGATCGTTTAAGCTTGCATTATCGCTTCTTTGGCCTATTTTATACTAGGTTGTGTTCCTTTGTCACATTTCAGGCCCTAGTACATAAAGTGAAGCATAGGCGCAAGTTTCAAGTCAATCAGAGATCAATTGGCGATTAGGGAGAAGAAACTCAGGCATGACCTGAAGAAGAATGGATTTCTGCCTCACTTTATGGAAAAATAATCAGGCAAGCTTGTTATGAAAAGAAAGAGTATGAGACTACGAGCGTCTGGGTTCAAACGGCGACTGATTTGGAGTCCGGACGAGGGAGAAACGAAGCTTTGAACAGGAGAGGAGGAAGAATTACGGGCAGGAGAATTACGACCGTAATTTGGCCTCCCATGCCCGTAATTTCACTGCCGAGAGGAGCTTTGAGTGCGCTGAAACATAACCAAAACGCGTGTTTTGGGCAAATTACGGGCATGGAAGAATTACGACCGTAATTCAGCCCGTAATTCGCCCAGAATCGGGTTTTTGAGGCAGATTCGAGCCAAAGGAAAGGGAGAGCTGGGTTTTGGATCCCAAACACCCAAGGGACGAACCCTAGAGAGAGAGAGCGACTTGGGAACATTCTTGGAGCTATTTTGGAGGATTTCTTCGCCATTGGAGCTCGGGAATCAAGCTTAGAGATGGAGATTGAAGATCTAGATCAGATTTCTGCAGTCTCTCTCTTCTCTATGGA